TGTTGTTATTGCCATCATTGCGTTGTTTGCCGTCTCGCTGATAACAATGTCGTCAGCTGATAATGCCAGCGCTGTCGCTGCACTTTTTTCACGGCCCATCGGCGTATGCGCCACTGTCATTTCTGTGTTTTCACGTCGTCGCGACACCATGTCCTGCCGCTTGAGCCAATGTATGCGCTCACCGCGCTCACTTGCCTGCACCGCGGGAAAGTGTGCATCTTCGTCGCGCGCCTCACTGCTCACAATGCCAGCTGTAACGCGCCGCGTCATCTTGGTGCGCACACGCGACTCGCGCGCCAAATGTTTTGCTGCCTGCTCGGCCGTTTTGTACTTGTAAAAGTTATCCTTTTCGCGATGAAAACAGTCGATTTCCGACTCCGCTGCCGCTGTTGTCGTAACGGCCTCTTCTGCTTGCACGCCCACCTGCGTACAATCGTGCAAACTATGCGCGCGTTTCTGCCGCAGTGCCTCGCCTTCGCTACCACTCGTCGATTGCGTAGCTTCTGCTTGCGCGCGCGCTGCATTCACTAAGCAACCAATTGATTTTGTTAATTTGCTTGCTTTGCTGGTGCTAAGTGAATTTTGCCGCCTTGTTGCGTCCTCACTTGCGCTGATGCGCTTATTCCACAAATGTCGCAAACTTTGAACGCCACGAAATTCACGTAGCGTAACGTCGCGTTCTGCCGCGCTCGGCTGTGGTGGCTCTCTTGGTAATTGTTTGGCGTTACCCCTGGCTTGGAGCGCCTCTTCGCCCTTAATTCTGCAGTCTTTATGTGTTTGTACGCCTTTTACTGTGGTTGCGTTGGCGTCGGCGTCGGTTTTATTAGGTGATTTTGCGTTGCCACCTCGAAACCAACTGAAAAATGTCTTTGCTTTTGTTGGGGATGAATTCGTTGTGGGGCTTGTTGTAATAAATGCAGTCTTATTTGCATCTTCAGCAGCAGACTTGGCCGTAGCCAATGCCGTATCGAATGTTGTTGCTAACATTGTATTTGTTTCGTTTACATTGTCCAACATTTTTCTTTTTGTTTTCGTTATTATTCACAATTTGCACTAAGTTTTTGTTTTTGCTTTTTTGATTTGCTATCAGCTCACGTTCTTTGGTGTTGCATATTTTTATTTGTTGGCAGCAATTGCATCGGTTGCAGATGACAGCCGCTGCACATGTGGCGGTCAATCCACCGGAGAATTGGCAGTGTGCGATAAACCTGAAAGGAGGTAGACAAAAGAGAAAGTCAGTCCAAGTTTTCTTAATTTCGAGGAAACTAATAGGAAATACATTAAATTAAAAAGATATGGCAAGACTTAAGTTTATTCATAGTTTTTTTGTAGAAATCTATGGTATATATTTTATGGGCAACTATTTTAGGTTGGTCTAAAAATGTATGTAAAAAAAGTAAAGTCAGAATTTTAGTGCTCCCACCATCTAGATTGTTCTATATAGGCAAAAATATACCCCTGTTTTTTCCGAAATCAAAAAAAAAAAATTAGTTGTCGCACAGTGCGGCCGAAATCCAAAAAAACGCCCAAAATTCAAAACTTTAAAGAAATGATTCGAAATTTCGAACTAGGGAGTTTTTGGGGACGCTAATTACGAATTCGCTGTCTGAATTGCAAAAATTAAAATGGCGGATCCAGTATGGCCGCTGGTGAATTTCGAACTTTTTGATTAGATTTCTTGAAAAGATTTCGGATATGCAGTTTTATAGTTTACTCAATTTTAATGTCACAAAGTTCAACCTTAAAGTAAGTAAGTTGATTTTTGAAATTTTTTTTTTGTTGCCAATGTCAGTCATTTTCTGCCATAGGAAGTATGTTCGATGATATGAAGAAAATGAGCAACACCTTCAAAAAAAAATTCCCAAAAATCAACCTAAGTCCAGCAATTCTAAACTTGCGCTTTATTATTCTTCAATGAAATGGGCATACTCAAAATCTTTCTGTGAAATCTAATGAAACAGCTTGAAATTATTACATACAGGTGAAGCTAATATGTATAAGCGTGTTAAAAAAAAGTACATTAAAATTTCAGTGGCAGATTTGGGCAGCTGAATTTTATTTTATTCAGTAGCTAATACTTTTCTACGTAACCTTCAATGGGTTTTACAGCAGGTGTGGCCAACCTCGGCAGAGCTTTTTGTAGTGTGCGTGCAAACAAGTCCCAGCAAAAACTTTTAACTTTTTTGGAAAGTACCTACTTATTTTTGTATCATCGAGTAACGCAATACAAGCCGCCTAGAGACCATTTTCGCTTATCCATTGCATTACATTACGGTTGACGTGGTTAAAAGTTATGCGGTAACATACATAAAAAAATATATTCCGACGAATTGATAACCTCCTCCTTTTTTGAAGTCGGTTAAAAAACAAAAAAAAAAAAACAATAGCATAATATTTGTAATTCGACGAAAATTCTGTTACGGTACAATTTTGTAGCCCATTACATTAGGGGTATTCTCCAAATCTTGCAAAGCCATTGCACGTAGCACGGATTGCATGGATTGCATAACTTGGAAACACAGAACCACAAAATACATGGGAAACAAAATTTCCTACGCTGCAAAATATGCAACGTCGAAACCCATCTATATATTTTGCAAAATAGCATAGCAAGATAAATGCAACCCTGTGCTAGTTGTTTTGTTGTTGGAATTGCCTTATATTTCTCTCATTGCTCTCATCTCGCTCATTTAATTTTTTTTTGTGCTGTATCTTGTTATTGTATTTGATACATAATTTCGCTGCTTGCTACCCATGCATGCTACCACAAATTTGGAATAGTATTTTTGCATTTCGTGCAAGACTTCGAGAATACCCCTATTGTAATATAAATGATAAATTGTATATCTGAAGTAGCTAGGATTTACCGTTGGTTTTTGCGGTTTTTTTTGCTGACGGTGTTATTTATTTTCCTACGTTTTTCTTCCACACGAAGTATTTTTGATGTTTTTTTATATAGATGAAAATGTACAACTCAGTCAGCAAAAAATTGCCAAAAATACTGACTAAATGGCCAGCTGAGTTCTTCGCTAGAGCTACTGAAACATTATCAAAACCGCGATTTTTCGACACCTTGACCACATTTTTCTCGAAATCTGGAGATGATGGAAACTTTATAGCTACGGATTCGTAATCAACACAAAAAAGCCAATGAAAAATGGTTTTAGCATTTGCCGCCCCAAAATTAGTGTTGCTCTGTGTAATTGGTATATTAAAATCTTACTATCCTTGCTAGTCGCAGAGAAATGCTAGGCATTATACGAGTATTTATGGTAAAATTACTGCCAGACTGCATTTCTAGCTTTTCTGGCTGAAGAAAACCTTAATGCCCCCTCTCAAATCAAATCTGAATCGAATTAACCCTTACCTTGTTTAGGAGCGGATTTTAGTACTCATTCTACTACTTTTGATTTGACAGATTTGATTTTGAAGAAAACATGCAGACTGAGCCGCTGCTCATTTTCGGCGTGAGTCTTCTTAAAACTTTTTTTTTTTTGGCAGCCATACTGCAATATTTACTTTATCTTAGCAATTTATTTTAACTGCAATTTTCAAACAGGTGGCAACTTTCTATTTTTGTTCCTTCTATATTTAAGTTAGACCTCTAGCAATACATCGGTGAAAACTGAATTCAATTTCATGCATTAGTTTTCGAGTGATGCGCGTACAAACATACAGACAGACGGAGAGACAAAAATTATAGAAATGGTTGATTTTGGTTCTATTTCTCTAAGAAATACCTCCCATATTAATTTTTCTTTAATATCTATAATCTACAGACATCGGCGTGCTATAATATTTTTATATTAATAGATTTTTAAAACTGATGTAATTGTGCAATGGTAATATGCATTACTAATTATTTTCATGTGCTATGAGTTCATTAAATGCAAATGTAAACGGGCATCACAATAAAATAAAATTCAATATATATGTACATACACATATGCACGTATTTGCTTTTAAGTATGTATTTGTGTGAACAGAAAACATAAATTGCATACCAAACAGTTAGGTGGCATCACTGCTTCTTGATTAACAGCACATTGCCAAACCGCAGCCAATGACCAGTAATGCAAGTAAAACACAAAGCATCACAACTGGCTTGAAGCCATGAAATTTATATAGTTTATGAATACTAATCTATAGCCAGTATTATAAATTTGCTTTAAATTAGAAATTAAAGTCACTAATGTTTTTGTAGAAGGTTTAAATATTGCTTGGGATTTTTTTTTTTAACGACCAAGTAATGCATTCCGCTCAAGCACACACATCAATATTTATTTATTATTATTTTTTCTTGTTAATGCACAAAAAACCCAACTGCGAATGCTTTGACGCTCATCGACAATTAACACAATTATTATTTTTAAGTTTTATGTAACTAATGGCCATAGTAATTGTGCTACTATTTTTCGAAGTATTATTTAACAGCTTTTAGCCGCCTTTTGATGGTAATGTGTCTTATATTTTACCAATACACAAATAGACAAGAAAGAAAGAAAATAAACCCTATTCAAAAAAATTAAAAAAAATAAATACTAAATACTTATTCAACATTTTCTGTCATTTCCAACAGCTTTCCAAAGTGGAAAAATAACAAAACTGTCTGTCCTACGAAAAGCCAAACGAAGTGATTGTGCAATAAAATTAACTGATTTTCGTATTGAGACCATGCGACATACTTTCATATCTACATATTTATGTGCATGGTGAACATTAAGGTGGCTCTTAAAAAGGTTTAACCCTGCAATTTATCTTCAATCTATTGAAATTAAAATTAAGCTCTGTGAAATTTAGTCCCAACAGAACAAGCAGAAAAGGTCCCTTTTAGAACTTAAAGTAAAAAAAAAACAAAAAATTTAAACAAAAAATTTTGGAACGACGAATTTGCTTAATTCAGCTGGGAAGCTGGCACTGAGACCGGGCTAACACATTTTCGGATCATAACTGATGACTCCAAAATTCACAATGGGTCATGATCTGTAATCGAAGATAATGGGAATGAGCTTCACTTTTCCTTTAGAGAATATGCCAAGCCGACAACGTCCTCCCTGGTTCGGTTTTGTAAGTACGTACGAATCGACACAACCGATCCAGCCCTGGTAGTATTAACACGAAAAGCGACTTCGCTTCATGTATCATTTCAAACAGCCGTCAAGTGGCTCTATCAGACGCGGCCAAAAACTTCTAGGCGATTATAGCACCAATCAAGAAGAATTCCAAGGCGAGATATTTTCTATCCTCAAGCCAATGGACTATGTGGAGGAAAATAGGTAGAGAAGCAGGAAGGTACGTGTCTGGAGCAAGAGCTAAGCTGCACTCAATGCATTGGTCCGCAACCAGTTATAGCACTTCTGCCGTTGGATATTTCGTTCGGCAATCATTCGAAAGATTCGAGGGGCTACCGCTAGGTCGTTGCTTTCATTGAGTAGATGAGCCTGTAGACAACTTTTGGTATTGCTAACAAGGCATTTGATTTGGCACGATCACCTGATTGCCTACTGCTGCTAGCGAGGATGAAAAGGCGGAACACTTTTTGGGTCTCTAGCCCGCCTTTGCAGGAGTTAGGGATGATGAATTTGGCAGCGAAGTGTTGAGAGACGAAGCAATGAGCGTTTTTACACAGCCAACAATCTGCTTCGATTTATTTGTAAATCATGTAAATAACAATACAATGGGTGGTATTTAGACTGAAAGCCTTATTATGGCAACTTAACTTAACGGAACTTAGAACTTAGAAAATCTTCATTTTCGACGTGGCATTAAATTACGCTTAGTTTCGGCTATTCAGTTGAAAGCAACATCCAAATGGATTAAATGGAATTAAATGTTTAAGAGGATTTTTAAGTGAGAGCCTGTAAATTACGTTAAGTTTCCACAATCATCCCATGAGTTCTATGTTCTCCTAGCGTTGATTGCGAGCTAAAATAATTTGTTTGCTGATCTCAAATTTTGTATAAGATTTTTTTTTTATGTAAGGGAACTAAAGTTAGTGGTAGCCCAAAAAGGAACCTAATAAGAAAAATAAGAGCCAACCTAATGTATATATGTACATATGTATGTTTGTATGAGTGTAGTTTATGTATACATATACAAAATCAAGACGTTAAGGCCGATCAGCACACGTGAGCGAGGAACGTGCTTTGTTTGAAATGTAGCAAAGTCAAATACTTTCCTTGGTTATCTATTTACGTACATATATATG